TGGAGCACAAACATAATGTGCCTTGCGATTACGTGCGGACAGAGGGCATGGCAATGCTGCAATTCACTTCAATGGACCACCACGCCCGTCTTGTCCCACAACATAGTGAGCAGGCCGCAATGCAGTGTGTTCTGGCCAGAACGCACTGCATCTGGTGTGACTGAGCACTTATACAGATGTGGAACATTTTGGCAAGCAGCTAAGTCTACATTTGTGATAAACCCAAGGACGAGACCAACATCAACTTTCTCAATAGCCTAAATCATCGGAGAAAATGAAATGGTTTTCTGGCAACACAAAGTAAGCTGAAGACCACAATCTTACCATTCCATCCAGATACGTGTTATGGTCATCGGCTTCTCTGTCAATATCCAATGCAAGCTGAAATAAAAAAATAAAAATAGATGCACATTACATTATGTTTTTTATTAGGATGCAAACAATCCAAATTATAAAAGGTGGCTTCTTTTTCCACATGGATTCAACGGTCAGGTTTTCGATGCATTATAAAAAGGACTGACATGGGACATGACAAAAAGGAAATTAAATTGCAAAAAACAACTTTCTGAAAGTTCCTTTTTCTGTTTCTTCCATGTTTGGAGTGTTGAGAATTTTCATTATGATGAAATGGATTAAAGCCTTTATACATGAAGCCAGCCTACTTGATTTGTCTACTATACTTAGGTAACACAAAAACACAGTGAGGAAAGAAACTTCACCACTTAACTTCACCACTCAACTTTAAAAACAGCAAAATTATAACCAAAAACAAGATTATTTCACCCCTTGGGAACAAGCCCTTAGGGGCCTGTTAAACACCGAAAGCGCGTGCGTTCCAGAGCGGTAGCTGCTGGAACGCACTGTGATAGCTAAGAAACTTCTCCCTGCGTTTTGGGGCGTGACTGAGGGGGGCGTGGCGATGCATTGAATTCAATGGCCCCGCTTCCACGCCCCCCCCCCCGCAGTGCGATCGAACGCGTGGCAAAACTTTGCCAGCGTTGCGTTTGCAGTGGAACGAAAGTAATTCCACTGCGGGCGGGGAATCGGTGCCATTGAATTCAATGCATCGCCACGCCCCCCTCAGTCACGCCCCAAAACGCAGGGAGAAGTTTCTTAGCTATCACAGTGCGTTCCAGCAGCTACTGCTCTGGAACGCACACGCTTTCGGTGGGAACAAGGCTTACATTTTTCAACTCTAGGTTAGATTATCCCTACTTTTATCACGTGTAGCAATCAAAGAACTCTGAGAAAAATCATTCTTGTTGGCGCTGAGCCAATCACGGCAGGCTTTGTATTAATGAGCGGAAGACAGAGGACACAGCGGGGATCGTGGACAAGGTAAGAGACTGTATTCCCGATTGTGGCTCGGGGTTACCGCTTATGGTACTGAAAATTAACCCCGAGCCACACTCGGGAATACCGCCATGGAGGTTAGTGGGTGCATTTAAACATTATTTTGGGCTATACTCGTCTTATACGACAAGTATAGCCCAAAACCTATATTTTAACACAAAAAGTAGGGGGTCGTCTTATACGCTGAGTCGTCTTATACGCCGGCAAATACGGTAACTTTATCTTCCTCCTTGGACCAAAATGAGCACTTAATCCTTAAGGTGTAGTCCCACTGTAAGGGTTAAGGATGATTTATCCCAGAGTTCTTCTTTAAAAGTCTCCAGACCCACTGATGATGATGATTTACATAATCTGAAACTGACAACACTAATGCAGTTGTCTAAAGCTTCCCGATTCTTCCTAAAACCTCACTGGCTTCTATGTATAACCGCTGTGCATTTGATGCAGATCTGCTAAATCAGTCTTAAGGTGCCCACACACTTCGATTTTCGCTCGGAAATCTTCCACGAATGGTCTTTTGAACGAAAATCGTACAGTTGATGGGACATCCAACGCTTTTTTTTTTTTTTTACTGTAATCCCTCTAGAATTTTCTTGAAGGATAGGGCTGGAAAACTTTTTTGAATCGAACGAAAATCAATGAATTAGTGGCGTTTTTGTACAAAAAAAATCGTAACATAAACACTGCCCATATGTAGGGCTGCAGCTAACGATTATTTTCATAATCGATTAGTTAGCAATATGCAAACGAAAATCCGTTCTGTCGATCCACAAAATTCAGCGAGTTAGTATCGCTAACGAGCGATTATCAAAATCAACATTGGACTGTGCATGATGGGGTATTTGTGCTAAAATCCAGAGAGGGTTCTTGGCAGCAACGAAAATTTCCAATCGAAAATCCATCGGTGTATGGCCAGCTTTACTCCAAGCCCTCATTCACACTAGAAAGGGCCGGCAAGTACAGCTCCGTGCTGCGTGTGATTGGTACGCAGCCCCTGTCCTTCTCTATGGGACTACGCGGCCCCCCTACGCTCACCTCAAGTGCAGGTCCGTGCGGGTGCGTGTTTCCTGGCTCAGACGTAGTCCCATAGAGAAAGTTAGGGCCTGCGTACTAAATCACACGCAGCACCTGTCCTTCCCAGGTGTGGCCCGAGACAGCCCTGCACGCAGCACGGAGCTGTACGTGCCGGCCGATTCCAGTGTGAATGAAGACTAAAGCTGGCCATAAATGGCTAGATTTCACACCCCTCAGGCTGAGCAAGAGAAATCACTCGACGTATGGAGGGAACGCCACCTGCAGCTGCCAGCTGTCTTAGTACCTCAACAGTGGCTGCATCTTACTGGATGGAGTCATTGTTCATCTGACAATTTTCCACCTGGCTCCGTCAATTTTCTATTGAAGTTTGTCTAGCCGGGAGGTGCCTTCAGGCCCGCCACCGCTTGAACTTCAACAGTAATCACCCAAAATTTGAGCCGTGTATGGCCAGCCAGAGTGAATATTCGACATATTGTTCTTTCAGCACTCACAGATTTGAGCCGTGTTACTTTTGTAGAAAGATTGTCTGCAAGACGTTTGTTTTCTGCATCAAGCATCTCCTCTACCGCCCCGGGACTTGAACCTATACAGACATAAGAATAAAAACATCATTGCAGGAAATGAGAAGGTGGTAATGAACACATAACAGGCGAGACGTTCTGGTACACGTACATCAGTGAACAAACACTGCAATGACTCATTCACTTGTTTCTGAAACTTGAACCATAAAAGGTCCGTAAATAGCTTTTCTTTTAAAGTGACCCTGTCAGTTCCCTAAAAAAAACCTAAATGTTCACTGTGACTGAAGAGGTATTATACTCACCTGTCCAGCAGCCCGTGTCCCCTACCTCCCAGCAGTGCCCCCCACCCACGATGTGGTTCTGTCCTCTGATCCTTGCATCACTACATGGGTCAGAGAAAAGAACCACAGCACATGGCAGGGGACATGAACATCTGAAACTCTTGGTACCGTCAAATGTAGAAGAGTTTGATTGATTTTTAGTCTCCCTAGAAATCAATAAAGCAGCCCGTGAGATCTTCTCAAGCATTACTGAGCTCTTCCCCACAGATGACTGGGCCAGCTCCCTGAATTACCCTACCTGGTCCAATCCAAGTCCACACTCACCATCCCCTGTCATTTTGGAATAACCGTGCCATCAAATATCAATTAATCCAAGAACGCAACTTTTTAGGCTTTGTTCACACCACGCGCGTTCCAGGAGCAGAGCAGTTACAGACCGGATCAGAACTGCGTCCAATGTATTCCAATGGTATTTGGGGCTCTGGTTCACACCGCAGCGTTCAGTTCAAGAGCATGTAAAAAAAACTGCAGCAAGCCCTATTTTACCTGCTCCGGAACGCATACAAACGTATCAAAAACGCATGCAAACGCCCTGGAACGCTCTAAAAGCCCATTTGAAACGTAAAAAAAAAAAATGTAACAAAAAATGGCCCGGAACGCATCAAAAACGTGGCAAAAAAGCGGCACAACCAACTGCACTGCGTGTGCACAGGGGTGTGGAATTCCTATCGCCCGACGCCCGGGACATGCAGTTTCGGGCGCCGGGCGAGTAGTTTTAAAGTACATTCAACCCGGCTCCGGACAAGCAGAGCTGAATGTACATTGTGGAGCTGCCGCCGCTCGTTTAATACAAGTATTAATTTGAGCAGCGGCGATCGTTTCTGCCCGCACCCCCCGCCATAGTTTTCGGGGTCGCCCGCTCTCCCGGGGGACCCCGAAAACGAAGGCACAGCGGCTCAGCCATAGAGCTCGTAGAGCAGACGAAAAACTTCTGCTCTACGGGCTCTCTGAGGCCCCGTTCACATGTAGCGACTTATCGCGCGATATTGCGGGAAAGTCGCCGGCTAATGATAGTCAATGGAGCTGTCTTAGCTCCGTGTCGCAAGTCGCTTCTACGGGACCCTTTTTTCGGCGGATTTTGCGCGATTTTGCTTTTTTTCTATGGAGCCCGACAGAGAAGGTCGCGCTACCGTCGCTGGATCGTCGCCCCGAAAGTCGTGCTATCCCGGCCGCTGCAAAGGTATGTCGCTACATCTGAACGGGGTCTGAGATTGTGGCGCTGTAATCACAGCGCCACCTGTCTCGGCTGTCAGGAACTACACAGAACAGCTGTTCTGTGTTGGAGGGCAGGTTCCATATAGAGAACCTGTCACCTCCAAACTATCACATAAGGGATTTTCATCTCCTATGTAATAGGAAGAACATTAAGAGGAAAAAGTAAATAAATAAAAAGTTAAAGAAAATTTAAAAAGTTAAAAAATTTTAATATATAAAGATTTAAAAAATGAAAAAATAAATAAAAATTAAACCCTGCTGCCCCCGCCATCTGCATGCAAATAAACGCATGCGTAGGACATTCTGCATGTGCTTTGAGATTGCAGCTGCCATTCCATGGTGGTAGCCAGAATTCTCTTACACACACACAATGTGCATTAAAGGGTAAGTTCATTTTCCCAGGTAATATGGAAAAATTACCCGATGAAATCTGGCCCCGTCTCTCCCAAACCGCCAACCCCCCTGGCTATACTTACCTTCCGGCGAACAATCCCTCCCCTCCGCCAGTATGGGTGTACTATCTGTCCCCCGTACTGCTGTCCAGCGCAGTCCTCCCCTATCCATTTTGAATTTCGCTCGCAAATTGCAAGCACTCATTGGTCAACGTGGTCAGATGACTGCGCTGACCAGTGAGAAGCGCTATTTAGCACAGTAAAATATGTTTTGATTAGGGGTTCACAGATACTAGTATCAGTGCGATACCGAGTATTTGGGCAAGTACTCGTACTCACCCAAATGCTCCGATACCTTCCCCGATATTGGAACTTACGGCCAAATTAAAATTTCCTCTGACTGGTAGTGCCGTATGGGGAACATGGAGCCGGCTTCCCGTGCAATCAGGAAGCCGTGCGGCAAGTAATGACCCGCCTCCTGGTCTTCTGATTGGCCCGGGAAGCCGGCTCCTTGCTGATTGGCTGGAAAGCCGGCTTTCTGGCCAATCAGCATCGAGCCAGTTTCCCGGTTAATCAGTTCATTACTCGCCACCCGCCTTCCTGATTGACTGGGAAGCAGGTTTCCCGGCCAATCGCAGTCAAGCAGGCCAAACAACATGGAGCCGGCTTCCGTGGCAATCAGGAACCTGGGCGGGATGTCATTACCCGCTGCCCGGCTTCCTGATTACCAGAGAAGTCTGCTCCATGCCAGCGGAAGCACCGGTATTAGTATTCAGTGTCGGCGAGATCCGAAAGCACAAAATCGGTACTCGATACCGAAAAACCGGCATTGGTGCATCCCTAGTTTTGATTAAAACAATTTTTTGTATTGGGACAAGTAGATTGTCATGAAGGACAAGTAGATTTGGCCCCCACTTTAGCCCTTGGATAAGTAGTTTTTTTTAAAATATCCACACCCCTGTGTGCAGAAACTCATGCAGATCTGGTCTGCATTTGGTATGAACAAGCCCTAAACCTATGACCCAAATGTCCAAGGAGTACATTCCAATGGCCCTGCCATCCTTCCCTAATATACAACTTCAATATGCCACATAAATGCAGCTGAGGTGCGAATGTTGCCCTGCACTGCAAGGGTTAAGTGCTTATTTTTGTCTAAGTTTAAAGACATACTCACCCAATACTCGGAGCCGGCTTACTCTTAGACTGGTCCCTTTCACCGCTCTATTCCTCCGTGCAGCGATGGTATGTCCCTCTGCGTCATCACATCATATACACTGTATTGGACGTGATGACTGAGACCTTAGACCGCTGGAGCGGAGGAGGAGAGAGGTGGAAGGGACCCGTCTAAGAGCCAGCCGGCTTGGAGGATAGGGTGAGTATATCTTTGGTTTTTTGGAACCTAGACAAAACAAGCACTTAACCCTTACAAGGCGAGGGTAGCCCCACTGCAAGGTTTAAGCTTTGATTTGCCCAGAGTTCTGCTTTACTCTAATAAAAAGCAAGTAAAGAGGTAATCGGTCATGTTTAATATTTATGTTTACGTTTTGCTATGTGATTGGGAACATGTAACATATATAAAGTGAGTGTTATCCCAATTTGGCTGCAGAAGTGGAAATACATTTAAAAAGGAGATCTATGAGGCGAGTGATTTCCACGCATCCTCATAGTTTGAGCCGACCTGTGACAATGAAACTATCACAGGTCAGTTCTATAGATCGGGATGTGAGCGAACACATACCGTAGCTGGCTCACTTCTCGATCATCTCCCTGCAGAGAGCCGTGACTTTCAGGAACCACTCCCCGCTCCGATCCTCCAGCGCTGAGTGGAGGAATGAACGGGGAGGGGGCACAGCTGGCTCTGCCTCTAGATAGGCAGAGCCAGCTGTCAATCACGCACATGGGTGGATCTTGACAGCATTGTCAGGATCCGTTGCGGCTGTGGCGCTCTCAGTATATCGCGGGCAATAGCTTGCTATATACTGAGCTTTGGGTCACAGGAGGAGGTTATTATATGTCCTTCCGTGACCCTAAAGAGAACTATGGGGAAAAAAAACCCATAGTTCTCTTTTAGGGTTCATGGTCACAGGCATATGAAAATACACCATCTAGTACGTAAGATCATGCTGGCAGGAAGTTCTCTGCACACATGTAAAGGTTTCATCACGAATATTACAGCAACATAGAGCAATCATGACCCATTGGCTGCAAGGGCTCTAGGCACCTCGAGCCACCTTTGGTTCCAGGACACAGTTGGCTCCAATAGAGAACATCTGCACTGTACACATCAGTGTGAGCACAACATTCAACATGTGTACAGTGTAAAATATAATCCACACGCAGCACCTCAGCCACAGAACTTTCCATTGTGATATTAACAATCGGAACACATAAGTTTACTGATCTTCACTGAACGCACTGAGAGGAATTTATCATAACTGGAGCAGACAAAATCTGGAGCAGCTGTGCACGGCAACCAATCAGCTTCCAAATCTTAACTGAACAAACTGAAGAGAGAGGCTCATTGGTTGCCATGCACAGCTGCTCCAGATTTGATAAATTCCCCTCACTGTATTCATGAGCCCTTAGAAGACAATACAGACGCATTAACAAATACATCAATAAAAAAAACCCGCTGTGGTAATAGAAATGTGTTTTTTACAGCCAATTGCTGAAGTGATTTTATGAACAATATACAGGGATATACAGGGGGGAATTTATCAAAAGTGGGACAGAATCTGGAGAAGTTGTCATTTAACCAATCAGCTTCTCTCTATTATTTTCAAAGCTTCACTGAACAAAATGAAGAGACTGGTTACTATGACAACTGCTCCAATTTTAATAAATCCCCTGGTGTTCTGTATTCTTTCAATAGAATGAGCGCAGCCTGAAATGATTATAAGATGCATGGATATTTCTATCGATCATAGTGAGATCTCCTCTAAGGAGTTCTGTACTGATGACAGCTCTCTCACTTCTCACTCCCCCTTACAGTGTAAACACAAACACAGCAAAATAGGATTCACAGACTACACAGCACCTCCCGACATGACTACAAGCCCCCGGCAGCGCCTCAGACAGCCTCCGTGCCGCTATGACTGGCAAGAAACAAGAATACCTCTGCCCCAGTCAGCCATCTTTCTTCCTCTGCACTGTATGAGCTGGCAAGGTTGTCACGTGTTCCTTTCATAACGTCAGCTGTAAATCGCGTGATCAGCTGACAGACGATGTGTTGGAGGAGGGGCGAGTGTTAACAAAAAACAAAAGACACGCCTATTATGTAAATGATTGCGGTCATTCAGTGTTGCTATGGATACAGTGAGCTGAGATTATTTATACACTCACTGTTGCCACCTGCTGGCAACTGAGTCATGAACTAAAAGTAGAGATTGCATTGGATAGATGGATGGATAATGATAGACAGACAGACAGACAGATATCCTAGAGATTTCTTTATTTACAAATGTGTAAATAGCAGAATTGTAATTGTTCTGAATAAAGGTTTTTGGTGAATGTGCAGCAAATGTTACCATTTGTAGGATATACATAGAGTGAATAATACAGTGTGCCCCCTTTTCTCACTGAAGAACACATGTTGGTAAATGCTGTATAGTAATAATAATAATATCTGGGCCCATTCACACCATGTACATTGGGCTGTGTTGCTCAACTCAATGCCACACTTAAATCAATTGTTTCCAATAAGCTTCGCTCACACTAACGCATCGTTCAGGTGTATGCTGGGTGAAAATGGGACATGCTGCATTTGAATGCACTGGTCTGCTATTACACATTACAATGCATAAAACAATGCAGCGAGTGTTAGGCCTTGTTCCCACCGAAAGCGTGTGCATTCCAGAGCAGTAGCTACTGGAACGCACCGCGATCGCTAAGAAACTTCTCCCCGCGTTTTGGGGCGGGAGGGGGCGTGGCGGTGCATTGAATTCAATGGCACCGCTTCCACACCCCCCCAGCCCGCAGTGCTATCGAACGCGTGGCAAAACTTTGCCGGTGTTACGTTCCACTGCAAACACAATAAATAGAGCAAGTCCTATTTTTTGCGTTTGCAGTGGAACGGAACACTGGCAAAGTCTTTCTTAGCGATCGCGGTGCGTTCCAGCAGCCACCGCTCCAAGCTCGCTCCCGTAATGGACTACAATCTCAATCCAAATTGATAAACTAAACATGAAATTGTAGTCCATCACAGGAGTGAGCTTGGAGCGGTGACTACTTTACAACACACACCCGGACCATGGAGAACAAAAGTAGCCCCCCTCCAGAAGAAATGTAAAACAAGTAAAACAGACAGCGCCTTCTCCTCGTGTAATAACGTTTATTAAACAGAGTAATAAAAGATAGCATAAAAAACTAGTTGTAATTGGTATACGGAATGAAAGATTGGAAGCAAATCAGGTCCCAGAAGAGACCAATTTTCTGATGCGTTTCGAGGGAGAAATAATTCCCCCTTCCTCAGGGCTATCCACCCTCCAGAAGGAAGGACAGTGTCAGCACCAATTCAGAGTTGATTGGAAGATCTGCAGCTGAGTGATACACAAATAAGATAAATTTCTGTTAATAGTTAAGGTACTTGAATGCATTTTTAAGACTTTTGAGTTTAGTGGCATGTGCCAATCAAGGCATTTTCATATTTGCATAACTCCGCCCAAGAGCCAGTCCACTGCTTACATCAGGGCTGAGGGCTCTTGAGAGAAGTATTGAGGCAAGGTGCTGTGATGTTTTCAGGAAGTTATGTACAGCACCCTGCCAGCCCCCTCCACCAGCCATGATCTGCCTGCAAGAGTCCCAGTGATGACATCACTGGGTCTAAAGCAGTGGTTCTTAAGCTGTGTAACCTCAGGACCCACATTTGTCCTTGGTCATTAAGGCGAGACCAAAGTTGCACTGCAATTGAACGCACGGCAATAAGGCACCGCTTGTTCCGGTATGGGCATACGGACTGTGGGAGGGAGGTGCGTTTGGGGTACCATTCAAATAAATGGCAACGCAACACACCTTCCATACCAGAATGCATGGTAGGTGCGATTGCGTGGCACAGTTTAACGCACTGTACTAATGTAAACGGGCCCTCAAAAACACTGACATGCATACACAGTCACAATCTCACACATTCAGACATTCTCACACACACATACAGACTCCAAAACATGTTGTATTTTTTTTTAAAGGTCCAGCTAGTCTGCCTACCTTACAAGAACTGGAATGAATCCTCAGCCTGGGCTCCAGTGTGGGCTGCTGTGCTGTGACGGAGCTCAATCCATATGTGCATTGCTTGCCCAGCTCCCTTGCACTTCCTGCCAGAATGTGATGTCACTCCAGTCCAGGCACCTCTACAGGGCGCGTGAGGGAGCTGTAAGCAATGCACCTATGGATGGAGCTCACTTGTGGCCATACCCCCAGCCCACCCCACCTCAAGCTGACATTCAGCATATTTTGAATGGCTGCTTGGCACGAGAACTGACAGTGCTGCACTAGGGTGAGGCTAAGGAGCCTCTCACCTAGAAAAGTGGAAGGCATGCGGCGACCCACTGAACACGGGGTCACGACCCACCAGTTGAGAACCGAGGGTCTAAACTATGGTATGTAATGAAAGCAGAAAGCTTTTATTTTAACAAATTACGTGTTTATTGAGAAATTGTCTCTGTGCATTTATTTGTATTTAGAAACACAGTAACTGAGGTAAAGAGTACAGTAAGTAGTCACATAGACAGGGTATAGTATACAGTATTACTTGTTCTTCTAAGGGGGTGTCGGCCTTTCCTGGAAAAAGTGAAAGGACGAAAAGCGTTGGAAAGGATTGGGCACATACTGAGGTCAAACTATAGGAGATTACCAAGTGGATTTCTTAGTCTGGTTCGTGCAGCGGAGTTGATTGATTGTTTGTATGCATGGCGCCTATATTCTGTGAATTCCTGTGTTTTTTTCCATTGCAATAAATTTACTTGTTTTTTTACGTACTTCACCATTTGGCGTATCATTTCCTCCCTAAAATTGGGTTCCCCCCTCGCTGAGCGAGTGGCATCTACCGTCTAATACACACAATAGCCCTTTATATTTGAATACAGATGCATTAAAGACCTAAACTGGACATTGAAAGACTGATTATTATTCATTCTTATTTGGAATCTATATGAGATCATGTTTGATTATATGTATCTATGCTTATGTCACTGCACACATCATATGGAGGTTTAGAATCCGGCTCATGTTTATGAACATTAGCACCGTGCACACTATTTATGATTCTCCCAATTATTACCAATAGCGATTTCACTCCTCACAGCTTCATAATAGCTGTAATATATATGTTCTAGTGCGCACATTTTAGAACTGTAGAACTGTCATATAAATAATAAAAATTACTTGTTGTCATTAAGTACTATTATACTATATATACAATGACATTTCTTGATTCTGTAATCCTGATTTACACCGTATTGAAGTTCTGACCACAAATGGTTCATGCTCGAAGATCTTCAGTAAAATCATTATTCTGTAATAAGATAAAGATATTAGTATATACTGTATGTCTACATGCTTAGATGTTTTACTTTCCTCTTAGGCCTTGTTCACACCGAGCGTGTTCCAGGAGCAGAGCAGATCTGTTACAGACCGGATCAAAACTGCGTCCAATGTATTCCAATGGTATTTTGGGCTCTAGTTCACACCGAAGCGCTCAGTTCCAGAGCATGTAAAAAAAACTGCAGCAAGCCCTATTTTACCTGCTCTGGAACGCATGCAAATGCATCAAAAATGCATGCAAACACCCTGGAAGGCACTGAAAGCCCATTTTAAACTAAGCCCGGAACGCATCAAAAACACGGCAAAAAACGCTGGAAAAACGCTGCACTGTGTGTGCAGAAACTCATGCAGATCTGGTCTGCATTTGGTGTGAACAAGCCCTTACATTACCTTGGCACTTTTCTCTAGCTCCTCAAGTTCACTCTCCCAGCCCAGGAGTTGTACAAAATGTTTCACTCCACTGGTGACTTCTCCAAGCTCCACCACGTTGAGTCCATCTGAAGTGTCCAAAAATGGGCCTACATTATCTCGATTTAGAAGAACTCGTGGTGTAGAACGACCGACTGCATACACCAAACTGGCAAATGGTTCCACCTGTAAAACAGACATATAGGGGTTGATTTACTACAGGCAAATAGGCTTTCCACTCTCCAAAGATATTGGGGGGAATTTATCAAAGCAATTGTGAGTGTTTGAACTTGCACCGAATATATTTGCACCAGATTTATGATTCTAGTGTAATGTTGTTGATAAATGAGGTTTAATAGACTCCAAGAAAGAAGACTTCTAACTTCAGGCAAAAAGCGTAACTGTCGCATCTTGAAGAAGTGGTCACGGGGACTTCTGAAGTTGTGATTGTTTTCTTAGGTGATGCTCCAGTTTCATACAGCCCCAGAACAAGTGCAGATGAAAACTGGTGGAAAAACGTGCAGATAAAAAAGTAGTGCAAGCTTAGGTCAAAACAGGGGCACATGTTAAAAGACAGATTTGCACATAAAAACAACGATCTTAGTATATTTTGATTTGAATCTAATATTAGGAAAATATCACATTCTGACCACTTGATGGAGCTGAGGAGCACAGGAAATAAATACTTATTTTCTATGCTTATCAGCTCCATCTAGTGGTCATAATGCTGTATTGTACTAAAACTACCTTCAACTTAAAAAAAAAAAAAAATACTAAGATCATTCACTTTTGCCTCCATCTGTACAGAACGAACATTCACAGAGTGCCGCAGGATGATTGGCTCTACAAATTGTTTATAAATACACACCTGACTGAATAAAGGTGAAGCTAAGTAAAGATTTGCATTGCATGAATACCCATGTTACCCATCATGTTAAAGTAAAAAAAAAATCAGGATTTTTACTCACACATGATTGGATAATTAAAGTGACACTAAACTCAGGAGTTAAATCTTAAAAATGCATTCAAGTTCACCAACTATTAAAACAACAGTAGCCTCTTTGTGTATCACTCGGCTGTGGATCCTCAAATCATCTCTGAATTCATGCTGACACTGTCCTTCCTACTGGAGGCTGGCTACTTTTGTTCCCTATGGTACCTGTGAGTGTTCTAAAGTAGCCACCACTCCAAGCTCATTTCCGTGATGGACTACAATCTCAATAGTAATTAGTGAACTAAACGTGAAATTGTTGTCCATCACAGGAGTGAGCTTGTAGCGGTGGCTACTTAACAACACACACAGGGACCATCGGGAACAAAAGTAGCCACCCTCCATAAGGAAGGACAGTGTCAGCACCAATTCAGAGATGATTTGAGGATCAACAACTTAGTGATACACAAATAAGGTCCAGTATTGCTAATACTTGAAAAATAGAGGTATATCCAGAGACCAAGCCCTCTTTGTATTAATCTATTTTTTTCTAGTATTGTTAATAGTTAAAGTGAACTATGAGGTAACCTTTTTATCCCATAGTTCTCTTTAGGGTCACGGGAGGACATATACTAACCTTGTCCCGACCCAACGCTCAGTATATTGCAGGCTATTGCCCGCAATATATTGAGAGCGCCGCAGCTGGGACGGATCCCAACAATTGTGTCGTGATCCACCCAGCTGCGTGAGTGACAGCTGGCTCTGCCTATCTAGAGGCAGAGCCAGCTGTGCACGCCCCTCCCCAGGTCGTTCCTCCACTCAGCGCTGGAGGATTGGAGAGGAGAGGGGGGGAATCCCTGCAGAGAGTGGTGACTGACAGTCACCACTCCCTGCAGGGAGACGATCGGATGCAGAAAGTGAGCGGATCGACTCCATGTTTCTGCTCACTTCCCGATCAATAGAGATGACCTGTGACAGCTTCTTTGTCACAGGTCGGCTCTAACTACCGTGTTTCCCCGAAAGTAAGACCTACCCCGAAAGTAAGACCTAGCGCTATCTTCAGGGATTTCTGTAATATAAGACCTACCCCGAAAATAAGACCTAGTTCGGGGTAGGTCTTATATTACAGAAATCCCTGAAGATAGCGCTAGATCTTACTTCCGGGGTAGCTGCACATGTAATTGATTTTACATGTTAAAAGCGGCCGCAGCTCCCTCCCTCATACAAGGATGAGTAGAAATCACTCACCTCATACTTCTCCTTTAAGGTACTTGAATTCATTTGTAAGATTTACCTATTGAGTTTAGTGTCACTTTTCCAATGCGAAAATTCACTTTGTAAAGTGAACATGCTGTACTTCTTTAGTAAATAAACCTCAGTATTTAGAAATGGAAGCCCAGTGCAGCTTGTTGTAGGCTTACATAGGTTGGCATCCATCAATATTTTATCTAAGGACAAGCAACTATCCTTTTTCTTCTTGGGCGATGGTGGTAAGAAAACGACACATTAAGCAGCATGCTGGATGGCTCTGGTAGAGACAGGCAGTGGGTATATACCACGACATACAAACAGAGCAATACCAAATAGCTCTAACGGGACAGAAATATGAAGTCCTGTTTGCTCATATCAGCAGTCTGACCTCTAGAGAGGTGCCCATGACAATCAGAAGGTCTGCCCTGGGGAAGTCCGTAAGGTGTAAGAAGAACCGAGCAGGAAGCTGTTCTCCAAAAAATACAATGTCAGGTTTGATGAGACCGTCACATGATGAACAGCGAGGGACTTGAGACTCCACCACGGCATCCTGTAATATAACACGACAAACAAAAACACACTTTAATTATATTATCTCGTTTTAGCTTCGGGGGGATTGAATAGAAGGTAAGTGTAAGCATTGGAGGGTGTCTACTAACTGGCAAACCTAATACTCTATCCTACATGGCCAAAGTAAAGCTCATCATTAACCCTTTCATTGCCAAGCTCTACTGCTTGTTCAACTGCTCGTTTTTGCCTAGGGTTAAAAAAAAAAGTTATACTCACCTGAACTTCTGAACCGGCAGCGCTCCGTTCTTCCTCCTTCGCTGCAGTGATGGTATGTCCTTCGGCATCCTCATGTCCTATACACTGTATTGGACGTGATGACTTGAGGATTTCTAGACCGCTGCAGAGGAGGGGGGGAGAGATACTCCACGGACCTGAGCCGGCCGACTTGGAGGATCGGGTGAGTATAACTTTGTTTTTTGAATGCACAAAACAAGCAATTAACGCTTGCAGTGCGGGGGTAGCCCCACTGCAAGGGTTAATACAATTTCTCTCCGGAGTTCTTTTATAAATCTATTGGATAGTGAATCATACTATATGGGATGGAAAATGTTGCTACACAGACAGTTTTGACTGTACAGTCGACCGCTTACATGAAAAGTCTTGCCGGGGTATTCTTTCAGGCACATGGTACATGTGGCTGATGAAAAGGAGCCATGAGCTTCCACCAACTTTTCAGCTGGAATCCCAGCCACTGAAATAAAAATATGGGGCTGTAACTTTCAAACATTTTTATTGTTACATTTCAATTTATTTTTTTAGTTTCTACTTGTCTTTTCCTAAATTGGATTTAGAAAAAGAAGAAATATGCATTTGATAAGACATACTGGACTTAAAATGGAAGTGTTGGCCCAGCATCCAAAAGAACTTGTACAATTTCCAATGAAAAAATCTCAGGCCTACACCTATTATAGTAAAAACCAGAAAAGAGATGAATATAACAGGAATAAATCCCTTTCCTGGAAGCTCCATCCTCAGGGGCCCTCCGTTCATCTGCGTAGATGTCAGCCTCTCATACCAGCCTGTATGGAAGCAATGCCCTGCCACAGATACAGCAATGAAAGGGTTTATAGGAAGTTGCTTTTTGTTCAGAACAAAGACAGCAGTAACCCAATCAGCTTTATTAGGGTTATTGGCAGCAACAACAAACCACCTTCGCTGGTGTCAGCGGCAGCAATAAATACACACCTAGAGGGGAATTTATCAAAACTGCAGCAGACAGAATCTGGAGCAGTTGCCCATAGTAACCAATCAGCGCTCATCTTTCATTTTCAAAGCCTAACTCAATAACCTGAAGAGAGAAGGTGATTGGTTCCCTGGACAACTGCTCCAGATTCTGTCTACTCCAGTTTTGATAAATTCCCCCCATAGAGTGTTCCAGCACTAATGTCCCACTGGTTCTCTACATAGGCTGTAGCTGAGACCTTGCGAGCCGCAAAAATAGCCCCCCCATGGGTCACTTTTTAGTTGGCCTTGGTCTAGTTCAACCCAAACATTTGTATTTTCTAGCCTTTGTACACTTGGTCCTCCATATATATTAGACATCCAGTAATGAGACAAATGCAACTTCAAATTAGCAATTATATATTCATTTAATGACATGTACCATAATAAGCCCAGTAGTAAACAACCTGCTCTCTGCCTGATATAGATAATAACTTCACTTTCTGGGTGACCTAGACTTGTCTTCTTAAAACATAATTACCTCTTTCCAGACCATCTATGTTTTGTGTGTAGAGGCGTAACAATATCCCTTTGTCATTTAGAAGCCGCAGAAAATAATGTGCTGGGTTGGGAAGGTGCTTTCCAGGTAACAGCTCCTTAGAAAGACGCAAAAATGCATGAGGCTCACGCAGGAAGTAGCTTAAATCAAATATAGCCTCAGGGTATGGCAGGGAATATTCCTGCAGTTTACTGTAGAGACCACTCGTTGGAGACCTGGAGAAAAAGACAACTTTACTAGATACAGCAGGGGAAATTTGTTTTTTTATTTATTACAGGTATATATCTAT